GAAGAAAAAAAGAAAAAGAAGAATAAAACTGGAGGCAAAAAAATAAATAAATAAAATAAAAAGAAGAAGAAAAATAGAAATAAATGACATAAAATGTCTAGCAAGAAAGAGCCGAGAGGCCCCAGGGCCCAGACTCGAGAGAAGAGAAGAAGAAGAAAAGAAGAAGAAAAAAAAAAAAAAATCTGACCCAATCACCGATCCGACAGATCTGAGAAGAGAAGGAGGAGAGAAGAAGAAGAGAAGGAGAGAAGAAGGAGAGAAGAAGAAGAACTAACCTGGAGAGAACCGACGCAGATCCGAGAGTCAGAGTCCCGAGTAAGTACTTCGCTGCCTCTGTCTGTGTTCTTCTTTCCTTTGCTTCTCTTTTTTTTTTCGTTTTTTATGTTGCAAACTTGCAATAGGCTTTGGCTTTGAGCTTTCAACTTTTCAAGTTAAATAAGACAATACAAAATACAAATAATATAACAATACAGAGTTACAGACTACAGAGTCACAAACAAAACAAAAAATAATAAGGAAAATAAGTTAAAAACAAAAGTTTCATGCGGGGCGCGCCTTTCTAGCGCCTGTAGCCTCGCGCCTTGATCGTAAAGGCGCACGCCTTATATAACCCAACCGTCTTGAGTAGACTCAAGGCGCTAACCTGGCGCCTAGAGGCGCCTTGCGCCTCAGGCGCGCGCCTTCGGCGCCTTTGACAACTATGTATATATATCACTGATATGTTAGTATATATATATATTAGCATCTTTAGGACACGGACACGGCGAATTGTGGCATCTTTAGGTTAGTATATATATATATCAGCATCTTTAGGGTAGTACAAAATAAAAAATAGAACATATCAGCATTAAAAATTTAAAAAAAAAAAAAAAAAAAAATCCAGAAAAGTGTGTCCGAGCCGTGTCTGAGCCGTGTCCGAGCTGTCTGAGCCGTGTCCGTGCCGTGTCCGAAAATTAAAAAAAATAAAAAAATTCCAGACACGTTTTTTGGCGTGTCCGACACGTGTCGGGGCGTGTCCGACGCGTGTCCGTGTCCGACACATGTCGGACACGGATTCTTCGTCCATTTTGGAGTGTCCGTGCTTCTTAGTTCTAGTGTTAGCTTTTCTTCTTCTCCTGAGTAGTTCTTTTCACCTTTTCGGTGCTTTTCTTTTGATTCTCTTGTCATCTGAGTAATGCAAAATTTCTGGTTATAATTGATCTATACACCATTGGAATAAGAAAAATGATTAATTGGCTTATGCTGTATTTATAAGGAGGTACTCAGTTTGAAACTCGGGTTAAGTAAGATGGGCCTTGTGCGGTGTTTATAAGTGTCTCATGATACTTATTTATATTTGGTTGAACATGTTCTGTGTAGTTTCGTCTTTGGAGAATATTAATATTTTTACCGGATAATTTCAGAGACTTCAAAGCCAAACTGTGCTTCATTTTCTGTGGTCATGGCTTCAATTGGAGTACAAAGAGCATTTAGTATACCCCCATCAAATGGCTAAGGTGATTAAGGATTTTTGCATAGGAAAATATTTGAAACTGTAGCAAGAGGTTTGATTTCAAAACCGGAACTTTACCATATCAGGTGATAATCTTTTTAACAGTATTGTCTAACTGTGCATTTTACTACATTTGGCTTGCAGTGGATATGTTTCTTACTCTGATTGTATGCCCTCCTTCTGCAATGTTGACTGAACTCTTTTCCTTACAACCTTTTTTCAGAAGGCTTTGTGGATACCCACATGGAAATTTGATAAACTAGGGCTTAATTTAGATGTACGAGCATTGGACAATGCTTCTTTAAGGGAAACAGAGATTATAGTTTAAGATGCCATTTGGGTCTCTTGGGCTTAGCTCACGAGCATTGATCCAATGTGAGACAATAAACCATCACACACAAACGCAAAATATAACGTGGTCCGATACAAACCGGCTGACATCTACGCCCCACGGAGGAGAATATATTTTGCTATGATTCTATAGAGATGTAAAACGATAGAATACCAACACCGTGTACATACTTTTTCACCATTTACCACTTCATGAACGTGTCTCCTTGCCATCAATGTTCTTGGTACATATTTTTTCACCATTTACCACTTCACGAGCATGTCTCCTTGCCATCAATGTTCTTGTACATATTTTTGCACCATTTACCACTTCACGAGCATGTCTCCTTGCCATCAATGTTCTTGCTGCTCTACCGATAAACACTTCTACCCATCAACTCCCTTTTGACAAGGATTACAAAGTCCAAGACTTGTCTAACAAGAAATTCCTTCACAAAACACAACTCTGAAATGGAAACCTAACTAGACTAGGAATTTTTTTTTGATAAGTCTAACTAGACTAGGAATTTGAGACAATTTCTAACGGGGGTATTGGCATGGTAGAGAACAAAAGTCAAAATTCACCAAAAACCCAGAATTCTTTGAATGGTAAATAGGCTAAAATATGTCTTTTTTGCCATTTGAAGTGTCTTTTACTTGCTTACTGGTCTTAGGAAAAATCTGTGTCAAACTTTTAGCTGTATCAGCATTATTTGTCCTTTGAAAAACTTTTGGATCAGCATCTAACCTAGGATGATTACTTTAGGCAGAAAAATGTAGAGAAAATGGCAAAAGTAACCATAATGTAGTGGAAAAAGTATCAGCATGTGCTATGTTACATGGACTCAGGTACGTGTGTCGGATGTGTCAAATTTCCAAACAAAGGACACACGGACACAGCTAAATATTCATTTTATTAAATATTTTATTTTATTTTCTAAAGTAAAGTAATGTTTTTATCTAATAAGATGTTATATAGGTATTTAACTCATTTTAAAGTAATAATATAATATCATTGAATGATTGGATATGCTTTTTTAGTACATGTCCAACCAAAAGTGTCGGACACATATCTCATACCCATGCTCGAACAATATGTGTCCGACAGGGATACTTCACTACTTTTGAAGAGTCCATGTAACATGGGGCATGTGTAAAATAAGTAGGTTAAGGTTTTGGTTCATAATATGTTTGTGAAGAAAAATGTGATAAAACAACTGTTTCTATATTTATATTTTATTTTGTTGGTTGGAATCATTTTGAAAATTGTAGGAAATTAGTCCAAACTTGAAACATAGAATGATTACTTTAGGCAGAAAAATGTAGAAAAATTGGCAAAAGTAACCATAATGTAGTGAAAAATAGTATTGGCATGTGTAAAATGAGTAGGTTAAGGTTTTGGTTCATATCTTTGAGATGAAAAATGTGATAAAACAATTGTTTCTTTATTTATATTTTATTTTGTTGGTTGGAATCATTTTGAAAACTGTAGGAAATTAGTCCAAACTTTTCTTCCTTTTTTTTTTTTTTTTGATAAGTAGGAAATTAGTCCAAACTTGAAATGTAGAATGATTACTTTAGGCTGAAAAATGTCGAGAAATTGGCAAAAGTAACCATTATGTAGTGGAAAAAAGTATTGTCATGTGTAAAATGACTAGGTTAGGGTTTTGGTTCATATCTTTGTGATGAAAAACATGATAAAACACTTGTTTCTATCTTTATATTTGATTTTGTTGGTTGGAATCATTTTGAAAACTACAGGAAATTAGTTCATATATTTGTTAAGAAAAACATGATAAAAAACTTACCCAAAAAAAGAAAGAAAGATAAAACACTTGTTTATATCTTTATATTTGATTTTGTTGGTTGGAATCATTTTGAAAACTATAGGAAATTAGTTCAAACTTCAAACGGCCTTAACTTTCAATCCAGAAGGAGTTACAGGACTATTAGATATGCACGAGAAGCGCAAGATGAGTTCTACCGCACAACCAAGCCATTTTGAAATCCAAGATTGGGCTGTTTCAATAGAGTTTTAATTTATTTTAGTTGTTTTTGGAAGTTTTCTAATTTCGCGTGATTTTTTATTAGGATCGGGATGGATTAAATTTATTTTGATTTTGATTTTTAATTTTTTTATTCTTTTGCTTAGGGACTTTATTTTTTTATTTTTTATTTTTTGTGGTGATTTTAGAGGTGGTTTGCTAGCGTAGCTAAATTCTTGTGTTTTTTAATGCTAGAAATAGTTGTAACGCTCCATTGTTGGACAACTATTCGTTAATAGTAATTCGAGTTCTCTGTCCCCCAAACCTAGTGGATTCTAGGGTGTAACAGTTCGTTTGTTGTGAACGCTTCTGCTTTGTCACTGGAAGAACATATTTCCAATGTTCTTGTAGGAATTTGGTTAAATTGTATTTTCTTTTAGGGATGATCATATTGCTAGAATTATGGATTTTTTGTTTGAAATTTGGGTTAAGGAAAATGCCCCTTTTGGTAATGGTTCTAACTGTTGCATGACACTGTAAATTATCGAATGGGTTCTTTCCAGTTTCGTCAATACACACTTTTGGAAAGAGTGAGTATTTTCATCAGAGAAATTTTAGAAACTTCAAAACCAAACTATGCTTCGTTTGCAGTCATGGATTATTTTATTTTATTTTTTATTTTTTTTGGGGGGGGGGGGGGGGGGGGGGTGGGGGGACTAAGGATTTCTGCAGAGTAAAGTATTGCAAATGTGGCAAGAGGCCTGATTCTAAACGAGGAGGTTTTATAATTCAGTTAAAATCCCTGGAAACAGTCTTCCCCTGCAATGCATGGCTTGAGGTGCTCCTGTTTCTTAATGGGATCCGCTGCGCACATTGACTGCACTCTTTCCCTTGCCTTTCTCAAGCAACATTGACTGAAATCTTTCCCTTGCAACCTTTCTATATAATGATTTTTAGATTACCAGGGCTCAAGGAGGTCAAGGAACATTAGACAATGCTACTTTTAAGGAATCAGGGGTTACCAAATAAGATGATTACCCGGGGCATCATAGGTCTATATGATGCTCAGAAGTAGGGAGGATGAGCTACTCAGCATTTAGAGAAGATGATGGAATATGATTTCCTAATCATTATAATTTTCACATTGAATGTGACCGCAGGGTCAAGTCAGAATTCACCCAGCCGGAAGGAGATTGTAGTAAAGACATAATATATTGGTTTCATTATATTGTGGAGTATTTCTTATATTTATTGGTTTCACCTCAAATCTTTATGACTTGATAGAATTTAAAATCACAACATTCACTTGTTAGTGATCACAAGTTACCACAGAGAACCCAAGTCAGCAAATGATAGTGGTTTTTGCTTATGAGAAACAACGTTATTATACATGAACCGGGACAGCACGCAGAGGTTGAGCCTTCTGTAAAGTAATACCAAACTTCTCCTCCATGTTCATATCCTCTGGAGCAATGCCGTCTTCAAGCTTCCAGTCAAACGAGTTTATGAGCGTACCCATCATCAAGTGAACCATCCTTATTGCTAATGGTATCCCAGGACATATTCTTCGTCCACCTCCAAAAGGAATTAGCTCAAAGTCATGGCCCCGGACATCAATTTCTGTCCCCAAGAACCTCTCTCGCATAAAGGAGTTTGGATTGGTCCATATGCTTGGATCGCGGCCAATAGCCCACGCATTTACTAGCACTTGTGCATCCTTTGGTACTGTGTAACCACATACCTCAACATTGGCATCAACTTTGCGAGGGATTAAGAATGGCACAGCTGGGTGTAGCCTGAAGGTCTCTTTCACGATAGCTTGTAAGTATGGCAGTCTTGCAATGTCTGATTCTTCTACTGGGCTGCCTTTTCCAAGGATCTGATCAAGCTCAGCTTTGGCTTTCAACAGAGTCTTTGGGTTGTGTAGTATCTCTGCCATTGCCCATTCCAATGTGCTTGAAGTAGTATCTGTTCCCGCGGCAAATAGATCCTGTAAAATATTTTGTGTAAGTTGCAAACTTTACTGGCTAATGAAACATTTCTACGCAAGTCAGGAAGTAAGAAATCATTACATATTGGTATGGTCACCCTCTGAAGAGTTACAATGGACATCTAAGTTCAACACAGAACAAATATTTCTATAGATTAGATAAGGTCAAAGCAAACCAGACTGGTTTAGTTTACATACCACCAACATATGGTCGATGTGGACTTGATCAATCTCGTTAGGGTTAGATTCACTGATATTGAGAAGAGTGTCTAACACATCATTTCTTGTGATACAACCTTGCAGTCTCCTCAACTCCAATCTTTGGTTGATCATATGATTGAAAATCCCAATCATCTTCTCAAAATGAATCGTCAATCGACACCTTATACCTAGTGGATCAAACTTCCTAAGCACAGGGAAGTAATCCACCAGATTGGGTTTACCAGCCTCTTCCATGATACCCCAAACTAGTTCTTTAAACTCTTGTGCCGTATCAGAGCTTGTGTCAGTCAAATCTTCAGAGAAGATGGTATTTGATATTAGATTTAGCGTTGTTCTGAAAGCTGCTCGTCCTATATCTACTGCAGCACCTGCCTGGCAACTCTTGTGGATGTAGGCCATTAGCTCCTTAACTTTCTGACTCCGTAGCTGTTGCTTAGCATCCAGTCTTTGACCCGAAAATAAATGTGAGCTCAAGATTTTACGGAGGTTCCGCCAGCGAGTTGAAACGGGTATCCAAACCACTGAGAACAGGCCATGGTTGTGGGCTAGAAGTGCGTCTGGGATGAATCGGTTGGAGAAGGAGAGATCTTGCTTTTGGAGGATTTCTCTGGCCATGGTTGATGAAGAAATGACCACTGTGGTTATTTGGCCTAGTCTCAAAGTCATGATAGGACCGTGAGTTTTGGCGAGCTCTGCTAAGGACTTGTGTGGTTTATTTCCTAGTTTGAGGAGGTTTCCGATAATCGGCAACGGAGTAGGTCCTGGTGGTAGCCTTCCCGCACTTGTTCTGCTCCCCCTTTCAATTGAAAGCAGGGCTTGAACCAGAGTCCAGGAGAACAGAAAACATAGTAGCAAGTTCAAGAAATCCATCTCTCTACCCTGTTGTCTGCTAGACTGTGTATAGTGCGTGTATGTGTGTTACTAATAGAGCTCTCTAGTTTGCTAGGCTGTGTGTAGTGCGTGTATGTGTGCGGTTAGGGAGGTTCGGTCTTTTGTTTAAACAATATTTTGAAGCTATAACTGTTGTTTTGATTTGTTGTTATTGTTTTTAAAATTATGAATGTCCTCATCTCGCTATACTGATTCATAAGGAGTTGACTCTTTTTTTTTTTTTTTATGTTATCTCCTATCAGAATTGATTAAAAATATTGATTATCACATCATGCTTGGCTGTGAATATTTGATTTGAATTATCTTCTCCTTTGGCAGGATTATTAATTGTCAGAGCTGAAATGAAAATATCTCTGGTAAGAAGGCTCATCTGGACACAGCTGTCTGCTTGCATTAAATTCCCAAGTGACGAAATCCAATTTAGATGGTCCAACAATGAGCAGCCTTTTGGAATTTCTGAGAGTCGTAACTGAATTGGATAGCTTAGCTAGCTTGACTTGTTTAGTTAAGAGTCTTCATTCGATTTATGTGAATTGGAGGTATGGCAACTATAGAAACAGGTGGGAGAATACAGCTGAGTAATTGGAACAACTTGGAAAAAAGGGAAAGGATGTGCAGACCCCAGGAGAACGAGAAGGATGTCTTACCTGACTGTTTTCTCACGGAAAATACAAAGGTTGGTTTGTTCTCTGCCGCATTTGACCCCGCCTCTAATCACGCTCAAACTAGGAATTTACAACATAGCCCCAACCAAGTTTGAACTCAATGTTCAACGCTTTCCAACACGTTACTTGTTGCCAACTACTCTCTCAACACTCAAAATTTAGGCTTTGTTTGGATACACACGAGTTGAGAAAAAAAAAAAAAAAAAAAAAAAAAAATAGTATTAGTGGTTTGGATAGATAGAAGAGAAAATAAAAGAAATGATAGTATTTTTAGTTGGATATGATATAGAGGAGAAAAAAAGAGAAATAATATAAACAAATTACAATCATATCCTTTTAAATAGATATGATATGAGTGGAATAATAATTTTCTCATTTTAATTGTTGATGACAATTTCGAAATTATGAAAATACTACTTAAACACTATATTTTATCTCATTTTTTGAGATATAGAAAATGAGGAATAGTTATCCCTTCCTATCTCACTCTATCATTTATTTTCTCTCACTTTTTACCAACCAAACACTAAAACACACTCTTACTACCCTTTCTTCTCTTTTCCCTCCTTATCCTTCCAAATCTATCGTATCCAAACATACCCTTATTAATGTTTTCTTTAAAAAAAAAAAAAAAAAAAAAAAAAACAAAAAAAACATAAATGAGGAATGATGCTATTACTCATGATCAAAGGGCACTAGTCTACTAGCTTAACCTTTCAAAAAGAATGAAAAAACAAAAATGTACTAGTCTATATGATATAAGCTTTAAAGAGAGGTTGAGTAGTCGAGCAGTTAGACATAAAATATTGTAAGGGTATGTGCATTTGCGGTGTTCGAGCCAATAAAGATAAACTATAGTAGTTGTATATGCATTTGCTTGAATTTTCTAAAAAAGGAAAAAAAAAAATTGGTATTACCCATGCAAGGTTTAAGAGAGCCCTCACTACATCGTTTTGGTGTTAAAATGTGAAATTTATTTGTTTGTCTTCAACATAATAACACTAAGTTATCACCCAATATTCAGAATATACCATGAACTTGTTTTGTTCGCATTCAAACACATTCAGATCAGACGCTTGGCTTAGCACCGGATCAAGAATTAAGTATGATTTTAAACTCAATAGTAACAAGTGAGTGATTCATGATCCGACCCAAAATTTTAAACTATTAAGTGAAACTAACACGTAATCCATTTCATTTCTCATCCAATCCGATATGAGAAAAATTTATCTTTTAACACTAACACAGTTGTGCCTCACTTATTATTAAATGAATGATAAAATTCTCTTTAAAAATTTTTGTATTACAAGTTTACTCATTTACTTACCACATACTTTTCTTGCATAGTATAAATTATCATATATAATTACACTTACTATATTAGTATCTATAGGTTATTTATTCGTCACTCACATAACCTCAACCCTTCTTTATATAGGACATTTAGTGTGTCACCTGTCACGACAGTTGTCATGTCAGACACAACCAGTAGCTAGCGATCTTTGACGGCCATCAACCTTCAAACTTATAATATTTTTCTATTTTTTATTTTTAATATAGTATCAATGTCTTTCAATCTTTGGTAAATAATCTATTAGTTTATCGCCAAATGGCACCATCAGCCCCAATCCCCATTCTCGGCGGCGATCAACCTTCTTCCGCATCCCAATCTTTAGTCTCAAGTTCATAATTAGCAAAAGTCTTATTTGGCCGCCCAATCAGTCTCCAAGACACATCAATAGTGGTGCCAACAGTAGTGTGTCACCTGCTACGACAATTGTTATGTCAAACACAGCCAGTAGTGGTGCCAATAGTAATACCACGTCAGTTATCATGTTAGACACTATCAACAGCGGTGTCAGCAGTAGTGCCACCGTTAGTTTTTAATCGTACCTCCATCTTCATCATGGGTGAAAATTCATCTCCACCAAATTTTCAACAACTTCATGATCTTACATTCAATCTCAAACTAGATTCATGCTCAGCTCACTTTGAGCTCTTTCTTTATTTCTAACAAAAATATTTTCGCAGCACAATAATCTAACAAGTTAAAAAAAGAATAATATGTCATTTCGACTTGGGAAAGAAATATCAAGTGGAGCCCAAGGTGTGCAAAAATACTCGTCTTTTTAAGGATAAATAATAGTATGTCATTTCAGTACCATAATGTTGATGCTACATAACACAATATGTGGTGCTAAGTGACACTTGACATGGGACCACGTTGTTGCTGTCATGACATTTGTATACATGATTAATGGGATACTTGTTACCCGCATAATATTTCAATTCCTTTTTCTAAGATAGCGAGATTTTTTCCCCATTTAATCTATAGATTAAAAATAAAATAAAAACCTAGCTAGACTGCCACAAATAAAAACATCACCACCATATGAAGGGTTTCTAAGTATAATCTTACTTCATCTTAAAGTACAGCTGTTTAATTATACATAAGTAAAAAATTTAACTTTTATTTTCGTAAAGTTTATAAAAGATAATTAAAGTGATAGAATGAAAATCACAAGATAAAGGAGGAACAATTAATTGACATGTCAATTTTGTTCATACTTTCATTGTTGATACTTTCACCATCACTAACAAAGTGAAAATCAAGGTGGATCGATAGAAATTGAAGAAGAAAAAAAATTAAAATGGTGAGAGAAATTTTTAACAATTTAGTAGAAGTATTAGACCGAATTTCATTCTCAAATATAGCTGTAATAAAACCCTAGGTTTTTTATACCTTAAACAAAAAAGAAGTCTTGCGGAAAAAAAAATTCTATTATATATATATATATATAGAAAGTTTGTTCATAATTCTGCAGAGAGTTTAACCTCCTTTTTTTTATGAGAGTTTGCATATTTTATAACACTTTTGCTCTGAGTCTTTGAGATCGAATGGGATCCCAAATGAATTTTTTCCTGCAAATCCGTGTTCTTCCCTTCTAAAATGAGGATAAAACTATAATTAAAAATTGTTAATTTTTAGAACTTTGACGTTGGTTGAAATTTCTTTTATCTTGTTTCACCAAAAGTAAAAAAATTATTTTGGGAGTGCTTATTAGGTTTGGAAGCACCTTTAAAGCGCCAGGAAGCTCTCCCAAACGTGCACTTAATTTTTCAAAATAATTTCAAATAACTTCATTTTACAGTATTCTCTGTTGTCCCTCCTGCCTTTTACCTTATATGAAAACTGATTTTTCTCTGCTTAAATGCATTTATATGTCTCCGTTGTATATGTTCAAACCGTCTAAATTTATTCTTTCTTATTTGAGCAGTGATTCTTAGGCCGATATCTGCTAATCTCATCATTTTACACTACTTTTTGTCACATTCCACCATCTAAATGATGTCGGACAGAAGATCTTCACTTTTTCATGATCGGTCATGTTTGCACCATACAAGTTAAGTTGTATAGAAAAAAAATAATAATAATAAATAAATAAAATGATGTGGCAAAAAGCAGGGAAAAACCGGGAAAAAAAAGTGGCAAAAAAAATGTTGACTGATAATTATATATGTGCCAGTAGATCGACATGGTTGTGGACTTGTGGGACAAATACAGATGGATGATTAAAAGGTACCTAAACCTAAAAGGAGGAAGTGAAGCTGTAAAGCACAGAGAATTATAGATGGCTCAGCCTATATGTGTGTGTGTCTGTATATCTGTACTATTATTAAATGTGCAAAGTGTTTCAGTATTTCAGTATTTATTTATTTATATTAAAAAATATTTATTAGTTGATATAAAAGTAATTTTTGTAAAAATAGTTTCTATAAACCTCTAAAAATTACCTAATAAAATCAATCACATTCTATATACAACTCTTATTTTTAGTTATTTTTTAATAGATATTATAGTTTCTATAAAACTCTAAAAATTACCTAATAAAATCAATCACATCCTATATAAAACTCTTATTTTTAGTTATTTTTATGAATAATTATCACAATATAACTGGCCCGGCCCATTTATGATTATGTCATTATTAGAAAATGACACATGTCATCATCCTATTCATCCAAGAAGCCTATAAATAGAGGCATGGAGGAAGGAGAAAGGGGTACAGAAATTGAGAATTCTATAAATCTAGAATTCCAGAGTAAAATACAGAAGCTCTGCCAAAGAGTTTCAGTATTTATTTATTTATATAAAAAAATATTTATTAATTGATATAAAAAGAGTTGAATTTCAGAGTAAAATATTAGATGTGTAAAGAGTTTTAGTATTTATTTATTTATATAAAAAAATATTTATTAAATGATATGAAAATAGTTTTTACAAACAAACAAATATATATATATATATATATATATATATATACATAATAAAATTTAAATTAACCTATTTATTTATTTTTTACTATCCATTTTTTAATAAAAGAAAACCTAATTAGACAAGATTTATTAATATAAAAAATATTTATTAATTCATATATAAAATAAATAATTTTTATAAAATTCTACCACAAATTAGCTTTTATTATGAGTATTTTAATAAAATTAAATCTAATTA